AGGACATGCATAAATGAATGTTTTTTGTATTGTCACCTCAAACAGTAAGTATCAAAGGTCCAAAGTCCCTAAGAATTTATACTTCCAATTTGCAAAGTAAATTTGTTTTGCTAGGGGTGACTCAGGGCATTTCCACTTCATTTCGCATGTGGATGAAGCATTGTCAGTAGGTGTTTTATGCCTGTCTGAGTACACTGTCATAATTTTCATTCTCCCCAGATAAAAGATGCCAGAAAATCCACCCCCTTCCATTCTTTTTTTTATTGAAATATATCCCCCTGACGGTAAATCTCCCTCCCTCCCACTTCTCTTTGTTTGACACACACCTCTTTAGGAATTTATCCCCTCAATCCTGCCGTGCCATATCATCCCTCTCTGCCAAAGAAGCTGTCAGGGAAAACACAGGATTCTAAAATAAAATGGCTTGACTGCAGAGAGAAAGAGGGTGATTCACAGGAATCCATACATCTCAGTCATTCATTCACTTTGCATTTCATCTCATCTCATCTCATCTCATGAGTGTGTGGCACTTACACAGCAAAAATTGGAGAGTTAAAATTTGGATGTTAAAGCTTTCAGAGTTAATCTTAACTCCTAAATTGTAATTTTTACACTTTGGGAGTAAAGTGTTGTTCAGTGTTGGGGTTATTTGACAGTGTTGATTACAGTGGAGTTAGTTAAACTCCTAAGAGATTTAGTGATGATCCACCCACTGCCCCCAGTTCTTCGGGTGCAAAGTCAGCGCCATTATCGTCTCGCATGTGGACTGTGGAATGTTAATAATGTTCATAGCAATGTTCAGCAAATTGTTCGCACTTCAGTTGTAGCATGTTCCTCAAGTGAACCAATTGCAACATCATCTCAAGTACATACTTTGGAAGACCAAATGAATCCCCAGGATCAATCTACTTGTTCCACTGCTTCCTCTGAGAACAGTGACACAGGGCTTCGTAAAGATCTGACCAAAGAATTGTGTGCATCCATTGTATCCAAATTACAAGGGAGTGGGATTTCAACTGGTTTTGTGTCTTCAATTGTAGGTGATTTAGAAGAACTAACAGATGAGCTTCGCTCACAAGCAAAGCACAACATCCTTTCTGCTTTACCTACAAGTGACCCTTGCACAT